AGTTGAACTAATCCTTTGCCTCCTACGGATCTGGGAACATACAGACGATCAACATCAGCCTTGTGATGATGTATGCGGTCTCAAGTGAAAAGCTTTCTCGTTTTAGCGTCCATTAACCGTCAGTCATGGTCCAGTTAAGGGTTTTGAAATTGTATTGCACCACATGTACAGCCAAGAATTTTATGAGTGATATTCTGTGTTTTTCTTAAATTAACTTCAGTATTCAATACCAGACATACACGCCTGTAGTATTCCTTTCGTATTTTCTCCTTCATTTGGATATGCTGCACTCTATGTCTTAATCGCTAAGTACCCATAAGATTTTTCTTGTTCCAGTTCCCTAATATTTGTCACAAAATCTAGATCTATTGCGTGTGTTTCTGTAATCTTCCCATTCTTGAATGTTACTCTTGCACATTTATCTAATCCAAAATCCATACCTATGTCGTCACTGAAGCATTTTACTGTATTGAGGAAACCCTTCAACTCATTGCCGTCCTTGGCAAAGAGTTTGAGATCATTCATGTAGTGTAGATTGAAACATTTCTTGTTGACGTTTTATCCATTGCTTTTATTGTTTAATTCCTGAGTGATATGTCCCGGAAATGGGTATATTTGAACGAAATAGCTAAGTGGTTTTGGCTACTATAATCAAGTAGAATACGATAGCAGTAATCGACTAGTAAGCGTCGTAGTCGCAGGTAAGAAGTGTAGATCAATGGTGTAGTCCAATGGGCGTCGTTATAGACTTAGCACTCAGACTAAGGGACTGGCTCTCCTACACGTCCGTCGGTATTTATGACGGACACCAGCCAATCATATTCAAGTGAGGGGGAACACAGGTGTACGCATATTCCATTATATCAATGAGTAAAGACGATTAAGGACAGACAAAATAGAAGGTATGACAAGGGGTGTCCTTCAAAGATTGCACGTCAGATATTCAGACGTTTGGTGATGGCAGTGCCTCTGCTTTAGGTATAGTGTGGTGTTCCATATTCCTATGCAGTACTTAAGGAAATTTATTACCACAGAGGAGACTTTGTACGTTTCCAAAGTTTTAAGGATTCAAGAGTGTGGCACGCTGTCAAAGGCCTTACAGTAAACTATCCTTGCTTCACTAATATTTCGACATCGTCTTCTGCAATTTTTTAGCATCAGTAGTTGATCTTTGCGTTCATATGACCCTTTTCTGCGTCAATTCTGTTTCAGGGGAAGAATGATGTTTTCTTCAAGAATAGAATAAGTACAGTTCGTCAGGACGGACATGATTAAGACGTGGTAAACAAACATGGTATCGTCCTGTAAATTTTCGGTACATCTGTTTCACCCGTCTTAGGCGGGTGATATGTAATATTTTCTGTAATCTATTTTGGTACTTCATTGGGATTACTAATAAGCACTGATAAAATTTGTGCAACGGTTTTATGTTTTTTTTTTATATTATTTATGACAGATGATAAAGCTAGAAAAATGGGTACCTTTTCATTTCCTCGGGACTTCCATTTTGGGATTTCGTTAGAGCTTGCCTAACATTAGTCGTGGTTATATTTGCCCATTCTTGTAGATTTTTATCCATCATTCATTCTTCTTCTCGTTGGATCCACTTTGAATTGAGGTTATGTCTCTTTGGCCAACTCCAAATATTCTCCAAAATGTCTGCATTTTTTCAATAGATAATGGCGTTTTCACATAAATAACTGCTTTTCCAATTTCCCTATAAAATTTCTTAGGGTCCGTTTGAAATATCTTATTTTTTCAATAGAACCTACAACGTTTTTTCTAATCGTCTTGTTCTCTGTGCCTTTAACTGCAATTTCTCTTTTAGTAATTCTTTGATTGGTGGATTTTCATTTAGCAAATCTCATTTTTTATCTCTGTTCGATCTTCCTGCATTTGCGTGTTGAAACATTTGGGTTTCTACTACCGATAACACACATTAATTTCCTTTATTTCTCGCTTCAGTTTTGCCTTCCCTTCAGGCTTTTTTTTCTCTGCTATTTGATTTTTTCATTGTCTTGACACCAGACTTCCCAATAGCTGGTGAAGCTGCTGTGTATATGTCATTATTGACTTCTGAGAGTTTACCAGTGCTTTTTCCATTAACAGTGTTTGCAAAGGAGAGTTGCAGCGTTGCATACTACGTTTACTGGATTTGGTCATATGATTTTATGGAAGCTGGTCTCTGTCTGACATAGGCTTGCGAGTTACTCTTCTGAGTACTTGAATGATGTGGTTTTTCGCTTCGGTGATTTCACCTGTGTTGTTTTTAAAGAATTGTACCCTGATGCATTTTGACTCATTTTCAGTGATATAATATGAATAACTGCAGTTGTTTATGTCGTAGTTAGATTCCTCAGTTTTATTTCATAAGCGATTATTATTTCGTATCTCATTTATTTTAGATTTTACCTCTTCCTCTCATATTATTTATTTCCTGTCTCATTTATTGTTTGAGTGATGGGTTATTGTACTTTTTGTATTTAATTGTATCTGATTTATTTCCGCATTTGAGAGACTTTTATTTCGCAACCATATTTGGGTTGAGATAGGCTCCTACACCATTACCGACCATAGTTCTTTATATTCGGTATGTCAGTTCTTTTGTGGATTTTCAAGTACAGTGAAAAAAGATGTCATAACTTTTTGATACACTTCGCGTATCCATTTCGTTCGCTCTCTTTTTATTAATTGATTTGGTATCGTGTCACTTGGTCCAAGGTTCGAAAATAGTCCGGGTTTGGTGACCAGGTATCTCATCGTTGTTGAACTAGTTTGTTCCAGTGTCAGATTTTTCGGTCTCTGAGCAACGCAACGCTTGTTGACCCGGGTGACGGCCGATCAGTTATGAGTATTTGTTTGTAAGCAGTAAAATTTGTAATATTTTGCGTCTTATCCATGAGAGCCAACGGGAAATTTTGTTCAAGATGCCAGATCTAGTGCGACTGTCGACCAAGACTAAAGATCTCGTTCTGTTTAGGAAATGGGGGAGGGGTTTATATTCAGATGTCGAAGTTTCAACAGTCCATCATCTAGTACTGCATTCAAGGTGTTTACATAGAGTTAAGCAAACGATAAGGACCATACTAAGTTTTAGCTTATAAGTCACAAAGACCACTACCAGATGAAAGGTCAACTGGGCATACATTGGTGGTTATCATGAAAAAAAAATGAAAAAAAGTAGGCAATCAGCAAATACGGTCCTTGCCCATGTGCATACATGTAGACACACACACACACACACACACACACACACACATACATATATATATATATATATATATATATAGATAGATAGATAGATAGATAGATAGATAGATAGATATAATACATAAAAACTTAATGGTCAGAGTTGGATCAAAAGTGGTATTAAAGAGTGTTCACTACACATATGAAAAATAACATGGAGAGCTTTTAACTTTAAAAATCAGGAGATCACTTGAATTGGTTTTAACCTTAGAATATTCTCAAGTAATATTTATCAAATGACACCTCAACGCTTTATTTTTATTAAACATTTCCCCAAAAAATTCAGGATTAGATAAGATATTCAATAAATTTTAAAAAAAGTCTTATAACAACCACAAAAATATCTGCTACCTCTGCCTACACAGAAAATTTAGCAATGATGATATTTCCAGATCCAAAGAAACTTTTGAACCAGAAATCCGAAGTCATGAGTCATTGCATACATTTTTAAAAAATCCTCTTAATCATATATAAGTCTGGATTTAAAAAAATATATACATTTCAATTAACTCACCACTTATAATACCTTCTTCTTCAGTATTTACATTAGTCGGACTATTGTCCTCATCTTTGTCGCCATATTTGTCACAACGTTTCGGCCGTTGTACGCTCCGGCCTTCTTCAGGTGGTTGGAATTTCGAACTGAACCCTTTATTTCGATCACTGGAGTAGACTGTTCTAGTTCCACGTTTGATGGATGTCAGTTATCAGTTATCTCCTGGTAATTTTCCCTCTGAAAGTTCTCCACTGCCTTAACCAGGTATTGAACTCACCTTCTTTGGGTCTGTCACTGGATCTAACCAACGCCTTTATCCACTGTGACTTGTGTCCTTGAGGCGACAAAGAAGAGGACAATAGTCCAACTAATGTAAATACTGTACATAATACCTCATCTCAGAAATATAAACGTACCTTCTTCTTGTTCTTCTTCTTTTTCTTGTTGTTGTTGTTTTTCTTCTTCTTCTTCTTCTTTAAATTAACAGTTGAGAAGTTTAATTTTAATCGGATTCGGTTTTGTTATTTTCTGTCCGCCTGTAGTGTTAATCAACACAACAAAACGAATTAAAAGCAGCCAGTATGACTGACATGCAACTGAAGCGTGCATAATATGGTAGTGATCTTGCTCATCCTGAAATGTTCTGTTAGTTGATTAGTTACTCGGAGGAATAAATCAGACAAGTTAGTAGTGTGCATGCGTATTTACCTCATGCGTTTTAAGAGTCGAAAGGACGGGAGATTCTGGATATTTTTTTCCGAACGTGTACTTTATGATGTTACAAAAGACTAATTTCGACGAACAGCATTAACACTAATAATACTATTAATAATAACTCAAATTCGTAGAAACTTTATGATATGATACAATATGACAGCCATTTTTATTACGCCTAGTTAAGATTCTTACGATTCTTTTCATAAATATCTTCATGATTCGAAATTTTTACCAGTCTATAGAGATTCGTCTCAACTTAATAAAACATAAACTCCGAATAGATGATTAACATTTGTTCTTATCAAACATTGCAGGTTATTTAAAGCCAGGAAATATTTTTAGATTGAAAGAAATTTTATTTTATTTATTGAGATAATAATAGATTAGTGATAGAAATTTTACTGATAAATCCATACCTGGGGGATAGGGAGTGCGTTCATAACTTTCACAAGACTATTTGCACGTAGTTGAATATAACGTTGCCGACTGAACAAGAACTCAGCTCTCCGATTAACAATTAACGATTAGCTAAGATTTCACTATCTGATATTCTCAAGCGGTCACCCATTTAGTTACTAATCAGGCTCAACGTTGCTTAACTTCGGTGTTCGTACTGAAAGCGGTGTTTGAAAGTGATGTGGGAAGTGCCTACGTGTAAGTAAGTTCTGCACAATGGCAGTTCGAGAGAAAAAAGTTGTTTTACATTTAGTATGTTATTTTGGCTTGTTGTAGTCGTCATCCCCGTATAGGGGAGCCCCAATGAGGATAGAAATGATTAAAATTTTATGACTTATGAAACGGTATTGTTTAGGATTGTTCTACACTGGTGAGTACCAGGTCTCTCTCTCTCTCTCTCTTTTTATCTGTCTCTCTCTGTCTCTCTCACTCGCTCTCTCTGTATCTCCTCTGACTATATATATATATATATATATATATATATATATATATATATATATATATATTATAATTATTTTTAAAAAATATGATTCCATCTCGATAGAGAAATTTCTATGTTTCTGTGTCGCGATGAAATCATACTTTTAAAAAATAATTATAATTTAGGCTCCACTTCAGTATTGAGAACTGTTTTTTAAAAATAAAAACATATATACTAAAGTATTAAGGATCATCAATCTGACAGTTTTTTCCTATTATATCAATAAAAACACACACACATATCTGTGTGTATATATATATATATATATATATATATATATATATACTTTTTGAATATACGCTCTTTTAGAGCGAGAGGGCGTCGTCGTCAGTGATGTTCTGGAAATGGATTATTGGGCAGTTTCGGGTCTTTCAAACATCATACTGACCTCACCAAATCGACCCCCTCAGAGCTGATCAGACTCTGAAACACCCTCTAAAAAATGCTTATAGACGCTGACTTCTATAAATATACCCCGTTATCACACATTTGATTGGTGATTGACCAACAGCCAATCACAACGGTGCGAAATCTATTTAAGCCGTTTACGTGTAATTTTTTTTTCTTTTTTTCATTTTTTAGTGGACACTGCCTCATCGGATACTTAGAAGGTAATTATGTTTTCCGTTTTTACCCACTTCCCATCAAGTTTCATTTCACCAGCTAATAATTACTATTTACAGAGATAAGAAAAATACGGCCATTAAAATTAATAAATAAATTTACAGCGAATTAAGCCGAGAGTGCTTATAAATATAATAAAAAGTTTAAAACTGTTTACGAATAAAAAAAATAAATAAATAAATTACAGCGAGTTAAAACCGAGAGATCTTATAAATTACATAATAAAACATTTAAAACATGTTGACGAATAAAAAAATAAAATAAAATAAACAATTAATAATTTACAGCGAGTTAAAGCGAGAGGGCTTAAAAATATCATAAAACGTTTAAAACATGTTAACGAGTAATATAATATATATATATATATATATATATATATATATATATATATATATATATATATATATATCGGCCTTTTCATATTTGCATATAATTTGGTTCACTTTTTTCAAATGATGTGGAATCATTTTGAGTACATAGGAAGTGAACTAAGAGAAGTAATTTTAATTTAAAGGTAGTGTTAAAAGCGAAAATGCTTTTCTAAGTTTAACACAAAATTATCGTTACAGATAAGTTCTGAATATTTCTTCGGTTAAATTCGCCAAGTGCGTCCTAAATTACACGAAATTGAACTTGATTCCTTGCAAGGAATGAAATATTGAAATTTATTTTGTAATTCCAAAACATCTAATTTAATCTACGTTTGTTTTTTTGTTTTGTTTTCGCGTTTCTTTCTGAACTCAATAATCCAACTGGTTGACAAATATTTGATTGTAACATATAAATGTGTAAGTGTGCAGGAATGTATGCGTTTATCCGGGTCCGGGTGAATATATGCACTTTAAACTTTAATATTATTTCAAAAACTCGAGAAAAGCGTATCGTTATATGCAGAGAGGAAGAACAACGTATCTGTAGACCATTCGACCGCCAAGTTAAAATAGGCAAATCTCTACGATATCGATTCCTTTCGGGTGTTCGGAAATGAGAAAAGTTAAAACTGATTAATTTCGATCTCAGGGGATTTTGGGGCTCCGTCTACAAGAATATTGCAATATAGATGCTGGAATTTTCAGGAGAATTTGCTGATATGTCTGGAAATACGGAAGAATTCAAACAAATATATCAGTTAAATGGAAAAGAGGAAGAAATGATTGGCGGAATAAAACGTATTAAAAACATCCGGGTCACAACCCTCTTTCTCAAAAAAAGAAAACAAAAAAAAAACATAAAATAAATCTCTATCTATAAAAGGCAGGATGTGTGTGTGTGTGTGTGTGTGTGTGTGTGTGTGTGTGTGTGTGTGTGTGTGTGTGTGTGTGTGTGTGTGTGTAACGAATACACGGCCGCAATTTTCGACGGATTTGCACCAAAATTTACATGCACATACTCCAAGTTAGTGCAAAGGCCAAAACCGACTTTGCATTTCCCAACTTTCATGGATAGTGGAAATAATCGATTTTTTCATGTTTCTACGGCAGTTTTCATGTAGTTTGCGGCCATTTTGTACTGGCCAGAGTGAGAGCATATAGCTGGCTGCTACGAATAGGCAGGAAGATTCTATTGGCCAGCGTGAGAGCCAACAGCTGACTGACACGAATGTTAACTAGCATGATAGCATGCAAAAAAAAAATCAATAGCTGTATTCGTCACAAGTGGGAAAAATTTAAATCTGCATGGCACTTTAATTCAAATGGCTCATTCGCTTGCTTAAACTCAACGTTGATTCTGATTCCGCAGAACTGGGTTGGGTGTGAAAAAGTATTTGTTGTTAACATTCTTTTTTCCTTCGGTTTTTCCAGATACGAGTCCTTTTTTAAAGCTGATCGTTTTGTGTTCATTTTGTTTAGTTCTTTTTTCGTAACAGATTTAATGTTTAATATAGAGCTTAGAAAAAATTCGCAGTGTGAGATAGGCAAGAAGCAAGTCATGTAGCAACATCATCACGGCAAAGGGCACTCGTTTAAAGGCAAGGAAGGGCAAAAATATTTTAAGTCAAGTGATAGCGATTGGTGTATGAGTTTTAAACTTAACCAGTGAGGAGTATAATTGTGCATTTTCCAGTGGCGCAAGACATTCATCAGAACTGGACGGTGACATTAAATCTTGTTCTGTTTATGCCGCTGTACGATGAACGATGAAGGTAGCAAAGGAAAAGCGAAAAGAAGAGACTATCTGTTAATTGTAACAAAACAAAATGTACGCTTATCAGCAAAGGGGACAGTCTAAGAAGTAAGGATGCCAGCAACCAAAACAATCACTAAAATTACAATATCTAGAAAGTGTTTTACCAGATAACAGAAAATATATCATCGAGATCTGAAGTCTGAGTAGAACAGCAAAAAATGCCTTTCAAAAACTAAACAAAGTAACAGGAAAATTTCGTCAGAAACAAAGAATGATGTGCTGAACTGCTATATAATATTAATCTCCCTATATGGCAGTTAATGCTGGACAACTTCCTCAAAGAGGGAGACTTCAAGTGACAGAAATGTGAGTATACAGAAGGATGCTGAGATTTGTATAGTCAATAGAAAATTTAAGGAAAACAGAAAAAGAGATACTTTTACTTAGAATAAATATAGTTGAAATTACTGGGATACATAAAGAGAAAAGAGGGCTAGAAAATTTTCTACTCTACGGGGTATATTGACAGTAAGAGAGGAAGAACTAAATATCGAGTAACCTATTTTAAAACATAGTGCAAATGAATGGTAGTACTGGGGTTTGGAGGAATAGAAATGAAAAAATATTGCTTACAGATACAAGAGATATGAGGATTGCGGAGAGCCGTGATCGCTTATATCCTTCAGGACACAGTATATAAAATAAAAATTAATTGTAATATCTTGAGTTCCTTCTTTTTTTTATAATATCTACGCATTTCATCGTCTGTCCAAATTTCTATTTTAGAAAGTGGAATTCCCACATCGCCGATCAGACTTAGAATTTTCATCAATCGCGTTAAAAGGATGTTCCCTCCGGGATGTCCAACACCTTGGCCATCTATTGGGACTTAACTCAAACTTCAAGACGAACTCGGATATATGATCTACCGCTAAAAATAGTCTGTTCCCTGTACTGCTCCAGTAAGTACCTGATTCTTCATGCTATCCTCTAGTTTTACAAAAGCCAGATTATACCAAAAATTAAGTATTGCTGCCATATATGAACAGGAGCTGCTCAGTTTTCGCTTTCCACTCTCGATAGAGTCCCAAATCGTCTCCTCTTCGTCCTTGTGGGTGATGAAATATTTTCCACCTTACAACACCTTTCTTACAGACGAAACATCGCAAGTCTCTCACTGCTTTATCGCTATTTCCATGGAAAGAATTCAGATGGACTATATTCCTTAGTTTTACCAGCCATGCTACGTCCAGTTTTGCTTTCATGTTTACTTGGTGAGATTTAAGTTCCACTCAAACAGCTTCCCCCCGCAACGAATCACTGAATTGTGGAACGATCTACAATTATTTTCAGATCAAAGTTGACTAGGAATCAAGAAGAAAGAAGGCATTTCCACAAGCGATAGGTACGATAGAAAAACTGTTACCATAGAACTTACGGTTATATTTAACCATTTCCCCTGTAAAATGATGGGAGCTCGCTATTGCACTTAAGATTATAAATTAAAGCTCATTTAGGTACTACAGCGAAAGGTTCATCCAAACAATTACCATGAAATTATTTATAGAAAAGCCATCGGGAAGCGTTACGGTGGTGGTAAGGGCTTGAACACGAGACACATGAGGACCTATAGCATTACAGATTATTCTTTTGAATTTTATCAAGAATCTAAAAATATATATCAAGAGCACCAGACCAGATGTGGCAGCAATATTCAAAGCGAGTAAGGAAGGTAGACTTATAAATATATAAGATAGATTCTGGCGAGAAAAATTGTCGAGCACGACGTTCGGGCCTCGTATTAGGTGAATAACAGGGAAAATATATAACATTTGTAATGTAATATAGGTATATTTGTGTAACATATTTTTCTGTGATATATTTCTTATGCAATATAAACTATTTTAGGCAATGTATTTCAACATATCAATTTAACAGTTAT